TATTGTCAAGAGGATGAACGCCTTCGCGCACAAGAATCACCATCACCAATGGAAGTTTTACGCCGTTGTGGCTCGAATTGCCTCCACGTGGTTGTGGCACAGCGTAGGCTTCGACTGGCTGGCCATATTTTGCGCATGACACAACAACGAGTTCCAAGGGTGGCCATGAACTGGATACCTCCAGGCGCCAAGCGAGGAAGAGGCCGTCCCAGAAACACGTGGAGACGAACGTTCGAGAATGATTTCAAGATCATGAATGTTTCTAGGAATGAAGGAGAAATGATTGCACAAGATCGGCAACAGTGGAAAGAATTCGTCGCCCGATGTGCTCTCCAGCACGGGAGGAACTAAGTCTAAGTAAGTTATTTATTTCAGGTATTGCATATATCAAACGTATAGTTGAAACAGTACTATTTTCTATGTGTATGTTTTTTTTAAATTGGCGATGTTTATCAATTACATATATTATCATAATCATTAGAAGTCAAGTGTGAGTAGGAATTAGTATTGTTATTATTATAGATAATGAATAATAACATTATACATCAAACTATTACATAATTAGAAGATTTTTATTGCTATGACTAACTCGTCCATTTCTGTCTTCGTTTCGATCAATGGTCGTCGCACGTCTAACTGGCGTGCTTTTCTTTCAAAAAAATTTTGAACTGTAACACTGTATGATTCACTACATATTTATTTATGTCTTCAAAGAACAATTCAACAACAAAACGAACACAATTCAAGTAAATCTTTCGTCTTTCTATGATAAATACGATTCAGATTTTACTTAGGCAGTTTCGTGGTGATAGTTTGTTCAAGCGCATCACCACTACGCTTTTTAGTTTCACTCGGACCATCCGATTCAGCTTGTCTATCCTAAAATAATTACATAACACTTCTATCATATTTTTATATTTCACATTTATTTATTTTAGAATCGTAACATATTAATGCATACCTTGCTCACGTTTACATTCGTACCATTTTCAAAACCAGGTAATATCATTGAGCCTCTTTTTAAACGACCTTCCTTAATGAGAAAACATCTTACACAATTCTCTGGAAATATATTATACGTAATTACTTACAAAATAGTCTTTACGATCATCTCCAGTTAACATTTCAACAAAAGTTAGACCTTTCCACTCCGGTAAGTCAAAACCAAACTTTATTGCAGCTACAGCAGACTTCATTTCCTAGATTCATGATTAATACATCACTTATAATAATAGTTCATCAATGAATATTTACTTACTATATTTTGACCAATTGACAGCACTCCTTTTTTGACACACATAGCTGGGACTTCTTTTTTAGCACACTTGTATACATCCGCAATCTTCTTACGCAGAAGCAAACTGAATTATGGAAATAAACAAATTTCAAATCATTGAATAAAGACGAAAACATGTAAATACCCTAAATTGTCTTCATCCTTCGTTCTTGAGGGCAATTCTCTCAGGATTGCGATGTGTGTGCCATTACTTTTGTTATACTCACTTAGTTTCTTCCTACCCTCTTTAATAAAATATCTCCAAAACTCATAACCAACTTTGGCCTAGAAATTTCACCAAGATTATTCACTAATGAGTACACATATATTATTTACATAACTTACTCGTATTGCAGGGATTCCTTTGTACTTCCCAGCACCGGTAGGCCAAGTAAACGGCAAGGAATGATTCTCAGCTTTATATCTATATAAATCATATTAAACACTATATACTTATATAGCATATAAGTTATATAGTACACTCACTCAATTATCACAGTTGCCAAATAGTTCAACAGGGTATCATATTTCCAACCTTTTTTGTTCTCAAGTCCAATAATTCGTACCCATTCAAGTAATACACGCTTGTGCATGATGACATCAAATTCTTCTAGAAGTTTAAAGGCGTGCTCTGACTAAAACATCATAAGTTACCCTACTTTTAATGTTTAAAATTTTCTTGAAAAATTCACTTATCATTTTACTTTTAGTGCTTTAAAAAATTTTAAAAAATTCATTTATCATCTTGCCTCTATTCATTAATTTCTATTCACTTCACTTACACATACAATTCTATTCACTTACACATACAAAGTAATATCTTTTTATTACCTTTCTTCCTTTACAAACTCCACTCACACTCTTCAAAACGCGAGGGCCACACCTCTTTAAAAATAGGGAATTGATAGGGTTATAAAAGCGGCCACCAGCATTGGGGGTAGGTACCACGTCCTCAAAAAGGCCAACAGATGCTTCATATAAATGAATCATTCACTAATTCACCTATATAGGATCGCAAGTGCCTGAGGCATTGCCCCTTTAAACTTCCCCCTAGTACGTGAGCTGGACCCCTCACATACTTCCAAACATGGTCCACTACCACTCCAGTAGATAACAGTAACTATTACTTCAAGCATGTACACTGCGCCTATAAATTATACAGCCACCTAGAAATTCTTCAAAATCTCGAATTCCACAAGTTTCTGGAAAAATGTCCAACAGGAAAACTGTGTCAAATTTGGTCGCAAATTCGAAAATGAACATTTTTCCGGATAGGGTCGCTTTTCAAACGTCTCCAAATTGATACAGCCACCCCGTGTTTTTTTCGTTGTATTTCATTTTTGCTTGATGAAATTTGATGGTAGTCATCAATTTCTCTTTTCTAAGTCATTAC